TGAACTTTTTTTCATTATTTTCACTTTCAGCCTGAATTTTCATAGGAGCAATTGCCCCTGGTCTTGTTATAGCTGATGATATGGAGCTTCACCACCATCTCTTTCCATAGATGTTGTCAATTTGATTTCTGTGTATTCCATCTAGTGAGGTCCATGTGTACAGTCATCTTTTATGTTGTTTTAAAAAAGTATTTGCAATGAATAAGTCATTGGTCTAGCAAAATTCTATCATGTAATCTCCAGCATAGTTTCTATCACTGCAGCCATATTTTCCAACAACTGATCCTTCCTCTTTGTTTCAAACCTTTGCATTTCAATCATCAGTAATTATCAATACATCTTGGTTTCATGTTTGGTTAATTTCAGACTGAAGAAATTGGTAGAATTCCTAAATTTCATCATCACTGGCTTTAGTGTTTTGTTGGTACATTTGAGTAATACTGGTATTAACTGGTCTTTCTTGAGGCATATACATATTATCCTACTACAGACAGCGTTGCACTTCATGACTGATTTTGATATGTTCTTTTTGATGATGAACGCAATGCCATTCTTCATCAATATGTCATTCCCAGCATAGCAAACCAAGTGATTATCAGATTCAAAATGGCCAATACCAGTCCATTTCAGCTCACTAATTCTTAGGATATCAACAGTTATGCATGCCATTTCATTTTTGACAATTTCCAATTTTCCTAGTTTCATACTTTGTATACTCAATGTTCCAATTATTAATGAGTGTTTACAGCTGTTTCTCCTCATTTTGAGTTGTGTCCCATCAGAAATGAAGGTCCCAAGGGCTTTACTCTATTCACATCATCACAGTCAACTCTACTTTGAGGAGGCAGCTCTTCCCCAGTTACATTTTTAATGTCTTCCAACCTGAGGGGCTCATCTTCCAGCACTATATCTGTGTCCCACTGCTATTCATAAGGTTTTCAGTGACTAAATATTAGGAAGTAGTCCATCTCTCCTTCTTCATAGTTTGTCTTTGTCTGGAAGTTCATCTGAAACCTGTCCACTGTGGGTGACTCTGCTGGTATTTAATATACCTATCGAATGGCTTCTGGAATCACAGTAACACACAAGCTACCACGGTATGAAAAGCTTACAGAGTAGTAGATTTAACATCACAGAAGTTAGGATTCACAACACAAAGGATAATTAATTTCATCAGCTCACAAAATGGGGGATAGTTACACAATACTGATAATCATGGTCTAACCAAGTCGACACATATTGGGGAGAACATAATTCAATCCATAACGAAGTTCTTTAAAAATATTTTTAGCCTTACCTGTGCTTTTGGAATAGTTTGACTAACAATGCTGCTGTCTGAATGTGTATTCTCTGGTGATGAAACAATGGGATCAGAAGAGAGGCAGCAAACAGAAGGCGAAGAGTGTTCGTGGTCCAGCACAATCTCAGGAGAAACTGGGGAGAGATGGACTCCAGAAACTAATGAAGAACAACAACAACAAAGCATTAAATGATTAAAAAGAAAACAGAGAGTGTTTAGGCTGAAGGGAAGAAGGGAATGGAAAATAACTATAATAAAAATGAGTATTCTATGACTATTCCTCAGGGACTAAATTGAAATCTGAACTAGTTTTTTTTTCAATTTGTGACATGTCTAGGTAATATTAAACCAAAATTAAAAGTTTAATATGTACACATTTCCATAAGAAATTAATAAAGTACACATTTCCATAAGAAGTTCCATTCCTAAGTCAGATACAAAATGAAAGATATCATATGGTCCTACTGCAATGAAATATCCAGACTAAGCAAATGCATAGAGACCAGATTTCATTAGTAGTTACTAAGGAAGGTGGGAGAGGGAAATAGTAGAAACTGCTTAAGGGATACAGAGTTCTTGTTAAGGTGATAAAAAATGTGTGAAACTGAGAGTAGCAACTGTTGTACAGCTTAATGTGTGGTTATTGTCACTGAATTGAACAGGGAAAAATAGGAGAAAAGTACTTCAACATATATTTCACTACAATAATTTTTTTCTTAAAGTTAAGTACATGTCCAATTGGAAAAAGAAGTATTGAAATATATATCCATTCATTTGGTTAATAACAATTCTTAGAAGTACCTACTGTGCCAGGCACTTAGCAACAACTGTGGCTGGCACAGGTATCATCAGGCCTGAAAAGAGAGCAAAATGCACGACTGATACATCTGTGCATTCAGAGACCTTCAAACCCATCACACAAGTGGAACCCATTAAACATTTATAATAATAAAATTAAAATGTTAAGCACAATTACTTGCAAACAACAAATCCACTTGTTTTTGTGTTAGGTTCTTGTTTTGTCAAAAAAAAAAAGTTAAAATAAAACTAATGTTAACTTATTTCATTTGTTTCTACAAAAAATAATGCTGAAACATAATATTATAATTTTTTTTTACAAGAAAAACAGCATTATTGCAATTAGAGCACTCACAAACAGGTCACTAAGGGAAAGGTCAACTTTTTTTTCTAAAACTTCATATAAATTTGTATTTTATGTGTTTTAAACTTTAAGAAGAGCAAATGTGAATCATTGTTAGCAGTAAGTCATTTATACGTTTTGATTTTCTTGATTATAAAGACCTTTATTCCACACTGGCATCGGTAGTAACGTCAGTGAAGCTCTACCATAAATTCTGGAAGGCAGCTCACAATGGCAATTGCATTTTTTCCTAAAGAAAGACATTTATAAGGCTATTAATTATTAATTATAAATTTATAAATGTATAAATTCCTGATTAGCTCTCTAAGGAATAACTCACTATCTTATCATTGCTTTTATGATATAGCAACATTATGAGTTTTAGATACTATGTTCCATTGGCTCTATGGGATCACTAAATGTCGATTTTAACTTTTAGTGTTCCCATGCAACAGAACAGAACTGTCCATAGAATTTTCTTTACTGCAATCTTTAATAAGCAGATTGCCAGATCTTTCTCCCACTGAGTGCTGGGTGGGTTCAAAGGCCAACTTTTCAATAAGCAGCCAAGCACTTAACTGTTTGTACCAACAGGCCTTCTGGATAATTAAGATATTCTAGCTTAACTTCTGGAAGGCACTTACCAACACTAACAACATTAGTACTGGCCAGATACATGAAAGTTTCATTGGCATCCTGGCTGGTAAAAGACATGGTTGCATGCCAGAAGATGGTGGTGGTGGTGGTGGTGGTTATGTGCCATGAAGTCGGTTCCGAAAACTCATACTGACCCTGTACAGGGTTTCTGAGGCTGTAAATCTTTACAGGAGCAGAAAGTCTCATCTTTCTCCTGCGGAACAGCTGATAGTTTCGAACTGCTGACCTTGAGGTTAGCAGCCCAACTCATAACCACTATGCTACCAGAGCATCCTGGTTGGTGAAAGGCACGGATGCATGCCAGAGGATGGTGGTGGTAGTGGTGGTTATCTGCCATACAATTGAGCACATTCCCTTTTGGGGCCATGAAAGTGCTGGGTTGGGACCTCTCCCAGACCTTGCCTTTGGTTTCTCCTCACTTGTATCCTTCTTGCTATAATAAAATTGCTGTTGCTGTTAAGTGTCATCAAATAAGTTCCAACTCATAGCAACCCTGTATAGTGTTTCCAAGGAGCAGCTGTGGGTGTGAACTGCTAACCTTGTAGCTAGCAGTCCAGTGGTTATCTTACAATGCTATATAGTAATATTAAAATATCACCTTCTGGGAGTCATTCAAGCAAATTATTGAAGCTGAGGGAGGACTGGATAAACCTGAGCAGTTTAACATCTCTTTATGTCACTTTTATTTACAGTAACATTCTAAGACAAAATGCCATATTGACCAAATTCTCATAATGTAACAGCAAATGCTCAAGTATGTCACATTTTAAAAAAAAAAAGGGGGGGGGGATGGTAGAAAGAGGGAGAAAGAAAGAAAAAGAGAAAAAGAAGAAGAAAGGTTAAAGGGAGAAAGTGAGGAGGGCACAAAGCAGACATTCCAAACCATACTTTTCACTAACTGCCAATACCCCATTACTCTTCTTTTCATACCCCAATTTCTTGAACAAGCAAGCTTATAATCACTGTATCAATTTTTTTTTCTTTTTCAATTCAATCATCATAACTTCATTGAAGCTGTCATTTAAGATACTGTCTTCTCAATTAATGTTAAATAAAATAAAAACTTCTGATTTTATCTTTCTTTACTGTCTTCACTTCTTGAAACTTCTCTCTTGGAGTCTATGATACCACTATAACCTCTAAGTTTCCTCCTAACATAATAACTACATTTTCTAGTTTTCTTTTCAGCTCTTTCTATACTCAGTCTTAAAGTTTCCTTGTCTCCTACAATTTTATCTTGGAGCTGTACATATTGTTGTGGTGACCACTTTCAAAACCCATTATGTTAGTACAATCACCTATAAACTAATGACACCCAAATTCACACCTCTAGCACAGATTATAGACTGCACAGAGTTTGAGATCCCAATACAGGTTGTCCCTGCTATCCAACAATAGAGTGTTCCTAGAAAACCTCTCAGAAACTGAATGGTGTCAAGTAAAAAGCAATTACCATTGATTTATATGGGGAAATAGTTGAGCATCCCAAGATGGCAAAATCACCTACATAGTAACAAATAAAACCTTAATTAGCACTAACATATAGTGTTCACAAATAGTAGTTCAGAGTTATAACAGGCTAATGAGGAGGAGATGCTGAGTGTAGTTCTCCAGGAAGCAGTCTGGTGACCACCACTCTCATTGTTCTGTGTGAGTCTTGCCTCTAATGGTTTAAATCAAAACAAACAATGGACTCTAGTTTCACTTCTCACTTTCTTTGTAAAAATTAAATTTATCTTTGGATATCATTAAAAACAAGTACTATTAACAGAGGCCTTTCATAAAAGCAAAGTGGCATAAAGCAAACTTGGGACAAGCAGGAGATACCTATATTACTTTCCTACCAAGCAATTCCATTTAGCTATACAACGTTGTTGTTGTTGTTAAGTGCCATAGAGTCAGTTCTGACCCATAATGACTCAGTATAGGATTTATGAGGAGCACCTGGTGAGCTTGAACTGCCAACACTGCAGTTTAAATGGCTTTGCAGTCTGGCGCATTAACCCAGAGCACCACACCAGGACTCCAGCTATACAACAAGTACATCAAACTTACGCATTATCTCATATAAACTTGCTGTGCTTCATGTTTTCCATCTTATTTCCTCCAACCAGAAACTATATCACCAAGTGCCAACTTCACTCTGAAGGACTAACAGTCCTCTGATTCTACCATACTGTTCAGTATCTCTATGACCTCACAATATTCCTGCCTCTGAAAAAGCCACAGAGGATAGAGTCAAAATGCATTTAAATTTGAACAATAACAACTACTCATTGTGCAACAAATTAAATAAACTACTCTAAGCCATAGTTTCCTCTTCAGAAAATGGGAAAATATCTACCTCAAAAGGCTTTTACACAGTTTAAATGAGATAATGTATGTAACTACTTAGGTCAGTACTAGTTACATGCCAAACATTTAGTATATGGAAGCAGTTGCCATCATTATCATTTGTCAACATTCAAAGCAAATTTTCCAGGAATCTTTCCATCTACATCATCACCTACCTAACCACAATATAATTTAAGTCTCCCTCTATCTGTTAAAAGGAGCTCTGGTAGCATAGTGGCTGCAAGTCAGGCTGCTAACCTCAAGGTCAGCAGTTCAAAACTACCAGCTGATCCGCAGAAGAAAGATGAGGCTTTCTGCTCCTGTAAAGATTTACAGCCTCGGAAACCCGATGCAGGGTCTCTATGGGTTGGAACCGACTCCACGGCACATAATGACTACTACTGTTGTTGTTGTTGTTGTTAAGTGCCTTCGAGTCGGTTCCGACCCATAGCGACCCTGTACAGGGTTTCCGAGGGTATAAATCTTTACGGGAGTAGAAAGCCTCATCTTTCTCCCGCGGAGCGGCTGGTAGTTTCGAACCACTGACCTTAAGGTTCGCAGCCCGATTCGTAACCACTACGCTACCAGAGCTCCTTAATGACTACTACTACTATCTGTTAAAAGTTCATAGAATGTCTAAGAAATAATGAAATAAAAACATTGTATATCAGACACATGGGATACATTTAAAGCAGGCATTAAAAACAAAAACAAACCAGAACCTTGAATACTTTGATCAGTAAAAACAAATTACTTAAATCTCCAACACATAAACTAGACAATAAACAATAGGAAAGCAAATGAAAAGATAAGCCATGCATTAGCCCACAAAATTAGAACTAATCAATGAAAATCCAATTATTTCTATAACATTTTAAATAGATAACTAACTTAATCAAGAATAGACCCCCCCCCAAAAAAAATGTAAAATTGTATATCAAGGAGAAACCGACTACTATAACATAGAAATAGAAAGTCATAACAACGGCTTCAATTATAATAAGATAAAAGCTCTAAATAGAACAGAAAACAGAATCCAATAAATACCATACTGAAAAAATAATATGCAATGACTAAATGGAATTTATTCCAAGAATGAAAAGTTGGTTCACTATTAGGAAATTCATTTAGAAAGACTCCATCTTAATAGATTTCAAAAGAAAAATGGTATTAAAAAGTTCAAGATTCTGAAAATGCCTTTGATTTAAATTGAAAATTTATTTCTGCTAACAAGAAAAATATTGGAATTAATGGATACTGTTTTAACCAAATAAAATATATAGACCTAGTCCAAAAGCCAGTATCTTACTTAATGGGGAAAACTAAAGGTGTTTCATCTAAAATCAAGAACAAAGCAAGAATGCCTACTATTATCTCCGTATCATTTTACATTTTACTAAAGTCATGACTCAATGCAATCAGACAAGAAAAGTCAATAATAAGAAGAAAAACAGAAAAAGGAAGAAAACGCTCTCATGTTCCTTGAGAATTTATGATAAGACTAACTCAAACAATAAAAAGGATTCAATAAAGTAGTAAGACATAAACTTAAGAAACAAAACTCAATAGCATTCAGATTTAACAACAATAATAAAAATAAAATTCTATTTTCCATAGCAATAGAGAAGATAAAATATTTCGGCATAAATATGAAAAGACATGTGAGGAAATTTTTTAAACACCCCTGAAACATACAAAGGTAGAACTGAACAAAGGTATAGATATCCATTGTAACTGAATGTCATATATGTACAGGAAGTCCCTGGATTACAAACAAGATCCATTCCTAATTTAAGAATATGTAGGTCAGTCAGAGCTGGCGAACACAGTTCTTGTTTACACTTACTTTAGTGCAAGAAAACTCTCACAGCCTTTTTAATGGTTTAATAACTGCACTACTGCAAATGAAAGTGATTGTGATGAAGAATTTGTTGCCAGCAGAGGTTGGTTCCAGCAGAGCCCGGTTCAACCATTTCATAGTGAGGATAAAACTGACATGATATTAACGCAGGACTTCAAAGATGGCAGAGTATCACTCAAAGATGGCAGCCAACCAGGTGGTCTGAAAGTGTATGCCTGTTCACAGTCCTGCCAATAACCCAATTTCACACGTAAGACTCCCAAAAGGGCTGCTACGCTTCTTCTGAGTCTCACGTTCCAGAGTTTTGCTATAAAATTTTTCCCATTCTGGTTACCATGACAAATGACCCAAATTGCAAAAATCTGGGTTTGTTCCTGTTTCACTTCATCTGTCATGAC